GACAGCGGGCAGGCTGTGTACTCTGTTCCCCCACTTAAATTTCACCACTACTGGCTTTCCCGTTGATCCACTGAGGAAAGGTTTGGGATTGAGGGGCAAAGTCCTTGCAACGAGGAGCAACTGCTGCAGGCTATGCCGCCAACCCAGCCCTCGTCCGAGAGAAACACTGGCCTGCAACCCAGGCCTGCGCCCTGACTGGGAATTGAACCCACGTCATTTCGATTTGCAGGCCGGCACTCAATCCACGGAGCCACAGCAGCCAGAGCTGGCCACTGTTAAGTCTTGGTCCACGTCCCTTGCTGTCTGAGTGTGACCACCTCAAGTGTACATCATCAGGGTCTCCTCCTGGGGCTGATGCAGACTCGCGGAGTCAGGGAGTAACGTTAGCGCAGCCTGCCGACAGCTGTGCCTCACTCACGCCCCGGTCGCTAGTGTAGATGCCACCGAGACGGTCCTCTCTGTGCTGCGCACATGTGAGCCTGACTCCTGACTTGGGGGTTTTTGTGTTTCTGTGTTCTGTATTTTTCTTTATTTCCACCTGAGCAGCACAAGCACGTGAGGTGTGAGAGGGGCCGAGGCCTGGCACACGTGTCAGTCTCGGTCTGGTAGCTCGCCGGCAGCGATGCCCGAGGCGCCTGTCCCCGGCCCACCCTTGCCAGCGCTCCTCGACTCTGGAGCACGCTGCTCACGCTCGGACACGTGGCTCTGACAGAGTGCTGCTCACGCGCGTCGTCTACGTGACAGCCAGTCTGCCGTCCTCTGGGCTGCAGCTGGGCGTCAGGGCCTGCGGAGCTGCAGGGTCCTGGTGTAGGGGCCCTGGCACTTCCTGCAGAGGTCAAATCTCCTTCTGGCAGTTGAGCGATGAGGGCACAGCTCCCACAGGCTGCTGCGTGTTGTGTCCTAACCCTGCCATCTCGGCCCTGTTTCTTAATGAGGCCATCCAATCACAACAGGTCCCCAGGAAGAATGAAGCTGGCGTGTGCTGACATGACTCCAGGGGAACTAACTGCTCATCAGTCAAAGCTGGACAGGCTGGCTTGTCATTGGCAGGGGATGGTGCGGCGGTTCACTCAAGGCCACTTGTTCTTTGGCATCTCCAGGGTCCCCTGTGAATCTGCAGCCCCGGGCCTGGGCAGGTGGGCCTCGAGGCAGGTCTGGGAAGTGGGCTCTGTGGTTTATCCCTCCTGGGAGGGAATGCTGTGGCCCCCTGTTGCTGGGACCAGTGTGAAGGCAGCTTCTGGGCTGAGTGTGTTGCCCTCAGAGCCTGGTGATGCCTGGGCAGACCTGCGGCTGAGAGTTGTGCCACGTGGGAGACGCGCAGAATGACGAGGGTCCCTTCTGAAGCCCACTCTGGTTGCGCGTGTCCTCACGCAGGCCCGCCCAGCAGCAGGTGTGCCTGGAGTGACTGGCAGGTTCTGGAGGCCCCAGAGTGCTGGCCTGCGTTCCGGGAGTGTGGAAGCGTGCCCAGCTCTGGGCGGTCAGGGTTCCGCGTGTGTCTGAGCGCCCGGCCCCTGGGCACCTCTCTCTAGAGGTGGCCTTGACCCGAACTTTCTAAATCAGTTTGTTTAGTCTCTGAATGTGGCTTCCGTGAGGTTTATAGGAAAACATTTTTCTGTTAAAAATAGAACCGGGATTCTAGTGAAAAATTCACATGGATTTTTAAGGTAAGCCAAAAAAGTCATTGTTTTAACTGACTCGAAGCTGCTGAGCCTCAGAAAGGGGCATGCAATGTGACCCTTGTGGTCTTCCCAATCCCTGCCCTTTTCCAGATAAGCCTCACATTTCGAGGCCCAGCCCCAGTGCCAGCTCCTCAGTGCCCAGGCAGCTGCCTCTTCTCCTTACCCCCAGTCTGCTGTGTGCTGCAGTTCTGCTGACTCTCCTGTCTTTTTCTCCTTTTTTTTTTTAAAGATTTTATTTATTTATTTATTTTTAGAGAGGGAAGGGAGGGAGAGAGAGAGAGAAAGAGAGAGAGAGAGAGAGAGAGAGAGAAACATCAATGTGCGGTTGCTGGGGACCGTGGCCTGCAACCCAGGCATGTGCCCTGACTGGGAATCGAACCTGTGACACTTTGGTTCGCAGCCCGAGCTCAATCCACTGAGCTACGCCAGCCAGGGCTTTTTCTCCTTTTTTATCCCACTGTGTCCCTGCACACTTTTAGGACTGGGTCACCGTTGTGTATCTCATGCTACTCGGCATGCTGTTGGCACTCAATAAATGTCCTTTTCTTGTTCTGCCAGGTCCCTGCTCTGAGTGCAATGCCTAGGTTGTGGCTCATGTGGCCTTGAGTCCAGGGTCTGACCACACTGAAGTTGGCCCTGAGATCTCGGCACCTTGCAACAAGGGAGGCTCCCTGGAGTGTCCTGAGGGTGGAGATGAGCCTCGTCCCCTCTAATCTTCCCTACATAACCTTCTCCCAGCTGCCTGTGAGGTAGCAGCAAGCTGATAAATAATTCCTGAGCTTGGCGATGTGCAAATGTCATCGTCCGCCTCTTTTCAGACATGGGAGAGGAGGTGCCCCTCCATTCCTTGTTCCAGCAGCTCTGTCCCTTTCCAGACCTCGGCGCCTTTGTTGGAAATAGTGGTGTTTTCACCAGCAGGGAGGCTGCTGAAGCAACATTCTTCCAGGAGTTGGTCTATGGGGTCCTTTAGCCTGGCTTGGAGAATGGCAGAGGTCCAGAGGCCCAGGCAGCAGGGCCCTGTGGGACTGTGTGAGACCAGTGCTTCCTTTAATATGGGGGGTGGAGCCAGAAGATGAATTTGAGAAGTCTTTGTGGTTGGGACACTGCCCTGGGGGACAGGAAGTTCACAGTGGAGAGAGAGGGAGCAGGCAGTGGCTGGAGTCTGGAACGAGTGCTGGGCCTACAGGAGAGAAGGGCACAGGTGCTCTCGGCTAAGCAGGCTGCACACAGAGCAGTGAGGCTCTAGGTCCAAGTGCTTTCATTTCTGGAGCCCTGATTGATATGATATAAGAAGAGCAACTTTGTAAAGGTGGGCTTAGTGAAGAAGCCCTTAAACTCTCAGGTTTTGCCACACAAATTCCAGAATTTAATGTTCATGAATGAAAAATAAGGCCCTAACTTGGAGTGTTGCTGTGGTCAGGACGCCTCCAGCCTCCTGTGTGCGCTGTGGGGCCTGTGGGCATGTCATGACTAGAAGGGTGAAGTGTTTCCACCGGGCCACCTCTCCTGCAGAGGTGCCTGATGCTGTTCTGGGGCTGCAGCCAGGCAGCTTGCTCTTGTATTCTTAGTGGCCCTCTCCTGCCAAGGACCTCTTGTGAGCCCCAAGAGCCACTTTCTGGACAGAGAGGCCATGTTGACTCTCAGACTGGTTTATGGAGTCACATTCTCAGGGTGGAGACCTTGGCACCCTCTACCTTCCTTGGGGCCGCTGGTCTGGGTACTAGGCTCTGCCTGGGGAGGGCAGGGTTCTCAATGGGCTGAATGTGCTGGTTGGATGGAGAAGATGTTGGACTCCTCATCTAGCCAGTAGCCCCACTAGAAGGCTGCCTGTGTGGGGTCATACTCATCAACCCAAATCGGATGTCCAGCCCACACATCTGCAGTATTCTGGCAGCATCAGATCCATTGCCTTGGGTGGATCTCAGTCCGTCATGCCTCCCATACCTATGTGACTTGTTTGCCATAGATCCCCCTACATTCATTACTCTGCACAGCCTTCCATGGGGTGGTGTCATTGTATGGTGACTGTCCCCACCCTAGTGTCTCCCTCCCCTGGCCACGGATGCATCAGCCAGAGATGCTGTGATTGGAACTGACTCTGAAGACCCTCTGTGGGTGGTGAGGGGTCCCTGGTTGTCAGAGAGGCCCCCAGTGCTGGGGGTATAGGAGGAACACCCTCTGATGGTCTGTTCTGTAGACAGCTTGAACTCTGTGACCACTGCCCAGCAGGTGAGGCTCCTTTGATGGTCAGCAGTCACTGGGAACCTCTAGGGGAAATGAGGTTCTGTTGCATGTGCCACTGACCTGGACCATCATTCCTGATGCCCCACCCTGCATACTCGCCTAGGGAGGGAACCCAAAATGAGGACAAGCCCTGGCCACAGAGGCCATATTTTGGTGTCCTTCAGAATTGGACCTGTCAGTGTCACTCCTACCTTTAAGAGCTTTCCATGAAGTAGAGTCTGTTAGTGACTGTGGGACTGTTTCTAAAATGAAAAAGAATCAGCTTTTTCTTAGAACTCTTTGGAGCTATGAGGAAGGAGGCCCCATACATAATCACCTTGCCTCACAGTGAATAAAGGAAGGTTATCTTGTTACAAAACGTAATTTAAATTTGGCTTAGACCTCTTATGGCTGGTGTGGCTCGGTTGGAACGTCATCCCGTAACTGAAAGGTTGAGTGTTCAATTCCTAGTCAGGGCCCATGCCTCTGTTGCAGGTTCGATCCCTGGTCAGGGTGTGTGCAGAAGGCCACCAATCGATCTTTCTTACATTGATTTTTCTCTCTCCCTTCCTTTCTAAAAAACAATGTAAAAAAATGTCCTTGGATAAGGATAAAAAAAAAGGAAGCCCTGGCTGATGTTGGTTGGGCATCATCCCACAAAGTAAAAGTTTGCTGATTCAATTCCAGGTTGTGGCGCATGCCTGGGTCGCAGGTTTGCTTCCCAGTCCGGGCACATATGAGAGGCAACTGAACAACATTTCTCTCTCACATTGATGTTTTTCCCCCCTCTTTCTTGTTCCCTTCCCCTCTCCCTAAAAATAAATAAATGAACTCTTAAAGGAAACAAACAAACAAAACTTGGCTTAGACCTGACAGATGGTGAGATGGTGACAGATCAGGGCTGGAGGCTGCAGGTGGCAGGAGGCAGAGAGCACCACTTGGGGATTCCCTCAGGTACCATGAACATCAGTCTGGTTGTGGGTTAAAGAGACAACCCAAATGCCTCCAAACACCTTTCAAACGTGACCTGGCCAGGAGTTAGCTGTGGGACTGCTGCTTTCTTGTCCAGGATTCACGTTGGTGCTTTGTTCTTTGTAGGATGAAACAGGTGCCTATTTAATCGACAGAGATCCCACCTATTTTGGGCCTGTGCTGAATTACCTGAGACATGGAAAGCTGGTCATTAACAAAGACCTCGCAGAAGAAGGTGAGTTGAGGGCAGGATCTGGTGAAGGTGCCAGCTGGACCCCTCTGGGCCTGAGCCACCTCGTGGAGCAGGCTCTGTGCACTGGAGCCAGGCTGGCATCCAAGTGCCCTGCCCCTTGCAGAGGTTCTGGTGCCCAAGTCCCCTCACTTGCCCCCCAAACATGTCCTATGAGGCAGCAGATGCTGACTTCAGAGAGGCGGGAGGGCTGATTGGCACAGCCTGTTCCCCTTCTCTCCTCCAAGAAACAAAGGCTCATTAGAGCTAGGCTGGCCCATCAGGAGTGCTGTAGCAGCAGGGCTTAGGGACTTCGGTCTGGGCCCCTACAACTCCATTCCTGGGCTGTGGGCAGGTCCACGGGCTACCTCTTTCAAATATCTAGTGAAGCATGAGTGTGGGGGCTTCCCCCTTGGAAGACCACCCATTGTCACAGGCACTCTGACTAAAACAGTCTGAGGGCCGTGTGTTAGGGATGTGCTCACTCTGTGAGTCTCTCAGGTGTCCCTCAGAGTCCCTGGGCCTGCTCTCTTCCAGGGCACTACTGTGCCATCATCTCAGTTCTGTCTGTTCTCAAATGCTGTACTACGTTCTGATTCTGGTCACAAGGGGCAGGGATGCCAGGCACAGTCCTGTGGGTACCAGGTCTGAGGCTGGTGTCTGCGTGTTCTGGCGTGGGCTTGGCTCCAAGCGCCGGGGAGGTCTGGAGAGGCTCAGGACACTGTCACTCAGAGTGGGCTCTGGCTCTTCTGCTCTGCTTTCACCCTGGAATGACTGTGAGCACTGAACTGTGTCCCTCAGCTCTCATCATGTCTTCCTTCGTATCTTTTCTGGATCCTGGGACTCCTTTTTTCTTGCTCACACACTTGTTCAGTTTGGAACACCATTCATGTTGTGTGTGGGCATCTGTACAGTTCAAAGCTGAACTTCACAGCCTCTTCCCAATGTGATTTGCTTAGGAAGGGGTACTTGATGGGACCAAGCCCTGCCACTCGGCCCCGCCTGCCTCCCTCCCTACAGCCTCAGACACAGTGTCATAAGGAGAAACGCCTGTGTGAACACTATTTCCTGGTTCTGCCCTTCAGACTATAGTGCGTGGAGAATCCAGGTGAAAGAAAGGTGTGCCCTTTAGGCCCAAGCATCAGTCTTAAAGCTTCTGGTGCTCATTTGCAATACCCCTCAGTCCCCACTCATGGATCTGAAGGGAGGGGTTGCCAGTGGCCTCAGGTCATCCTGAGAAGTGACAATCTAGATGTGGCCTATCTTTGGACAGCCCTGAAGAAAGACACCCTGCCTGGCAGGTTGCTGCCCACTCCCACCTTCACCGTCTGTTGCCTCACCTGGTGACCTTGTTAGGAGGCAGCTTGAGCGGGTCCAGCAACTGGAGTTCATGGCTCTGAAATTCTGGTGCTGCCCGTGGAGGGACTGTACCATGCAGAGTGAGGTTGGGCCAGGATGACCAGGCATGGCAGCAGAAGACACACCAAACCTTCTGGAATACCCATGAGGAATCCCTGAGGCAGAGCCCATCCAATTTGTTCTTGATTTTCAGTCCCTAAATAAGGTGCATTACAAATGGCCATCTTTGGGAAGAATGGAGTTTCTGAACTGGCCAGAGTCCTAGGGTGAGGAGCCACCTCCTCAACCAGCCAGTCTAATGTCTGAATAGGGATACTGAAGTGTCAGGTGACTCGGAGACCTGCACAAGGCTGCTGGGCCGGGCCCGAACCTTTTGTGGAGGGGAGGGAAGAGTTGGCCAGCCCAGAGCGGACAGATACAGACTGTGGAGGAAAAATGCTGTGTTTATCCTACGTGCTCAGCGTGGAGCTCACAATACACACTCAGGGACCTGTGTGTAAACCAGCTGTTCTGCATGTGAGTTCTGCACCCAGCAGGTCACTTGGGGGGCATTCATGTAGGAGCGTGTCGTAAACACACTGTCCTCCATTTGAGTCGTCTGCCCTGGTTCTGGGGAGCCACGCCAGGAGCCAGCAGTGTCTGTGTGGAGGCTCTTGGGGTGTTAGGATGGGTGGGCTGAAGAGTCGTTAGTGGTCCAGGCACAGGTCACAGGTTTACAGCGGGCTGAAATGAAATGTTTATTCTTTGCTTTGGTGACATAGTTATTTTTCTCTGTTCCAGGAGTATTGGAAGAAGCAGAATTTTATAATATCACCTCACTAATAAAACTGGTAAAGGACAAAATTAGAGAACGAGACAGTAAAACATCACAGGTGAGCCCATTGACTAGAAGCTTGTGCTCATAGGCGCGTATGTGTGACTCCTCCCCTTTCCCTTTTCCCTGTCCAAGGGCAGCTGGTCAGCCTCCTCGTGAGGCTTTGGGATCTGGCTGTCCTATCTTGGTGACTATCTTCCTCTGCAATCATCCTAGCATCTAATGGCACCGTGGCAGGCATAAAGGGTGAATTCAACTAGCCCTGTCCAGCCTATCCTTAGGACTTTCCACTCCAGTGGGAAGGGACAGACAGCTGCTGGCGAAGAAAGTCAAGTCCAGTGTGGGTGAGGGGGCGGCAGGGAACAGCAAGCCCCTGGGGGGAGTGAGTGTGGGCATTCAGGGCACTAAAGTGCAAACGGCCTGCGAGCTGCATGCTTGCCCATTCAGAGGACCTGTGTGCGGGGTGAGGGAGAAGTGGGGAGCACTGGTTTTGAGCTGGGGGCAGGTGGTGGATGCAGGGGTCCTACAGACCTATGCCGGTGCAGTGAGAACTCAGCTTTACTGGGAAAGAAGGGCTTGTTTGGTTCTCTTTGTGCCGCTTGTGTGCCTGGTGGTGCCAGAGCCAGCATAGCCACTCTGCCACCCATTAGGCCAGCGCTGTTTGAAGTGGCCTGGGTCTGGCACCTCCGAGAAGGGAGGTACCAAAGAATCTAAGGATTAGTCTTCGTTGATGTGCCAGCTCTGCGCTGAGAGCACAGCAGTGAGCCCGAGTCCAGTGAGTTCAGCTCCTTGGGGAGGATGCCATGAAGTGGACCATCCCTCAGAGCTGCCGTTTTATCCGGGGATTCTTGGTCCACTTAAAACCCTTTTGTACACCTCCCCCAGCTCCTAGGGGCGCTGGCAAACCCTGAGCCAGAGCTCTTGACCTTTGTGAAGAGGCTCACTGACAGCCTGGCCTCTCAGAGTGGCTGCTCAGGGACTGGGCCTGGGAAGGGGCCTATTGCAGTGACAGCCTAGGAGGCTGGGACCACCACCCTGACGGCTCCTAGCCCTCCTGTGGGAGCCAGCAGGGCGCAGACATGTCCATGAGCTCGCTGATCCTCTGCAGACAGTTCGCCTCCCACTTCCAGTAGTCCCACTTGATGAGTCGTGCAACCTGGTCTGGCACAGCTTGTGTCCTCACTCTTCCTTTGCATAGTGGCATAGTGAAGGCAGAAGAGACCCTTGTCACAGGGCCGTTGTGAGGATTGGAGGGCTCAGGCTGTGTAGTACGCTAGTGTCACTCACAGTCTTACAAATGAAAGCAGTTTCCGGCTGTGACCCTGTCATTTGAGTGTCACTGGTGAGTCACTGCCTTAACATTAGAGTACATCCTGGTGCTCCCGCAGCCCCTTTCCTGTGGTCGCAGATGTGTTAGGTGTGGTGGCCACCTTGTTCTGCTGCAGTAGCAGCTCCATGAGGGCAGGCCTCCCCGCCAGGGGCTCCTGGCCACAGACACCATGCCTGGAATGGAGCTCAGGGAAGGTTGGGTGGGGGCTGGGTCAAAAGACACATCAATTTTTTTGGAAGCCTGGTCAGTCCAAAGGAGGGCCCGTGTCTGAAAGCTTTGCTGGGAGCAGGGCCAGGTTGGTCCTGCATCGCTTTTAGGCCTCCCTGCCCGTCCTGCCCTAGCTGGTGGATTCAGGGACTTGGTGTGGCTCCCCGGTGGAACAGGTCCCTTGTGGGCGTCCTCGTGTGTTCACTGCTAGACACAGGTGCTCTTGGCATTTCAGGAACATGACTCACTTTACTTTGGAATTTAGAAATAGAAATGTATTTGGAGCAGACGAGGGAGCAGAAAACAGCAGCTGTTCCAGCCTGTTTGTTTTGTTTCAGTATATGTGTTTGGGGCTGCCTTCGGCATCATGACCTGAGCCTGAGAAGTAGGAGGACACGTCAGCCTCACCAGGCCTCCCGTTGGGCTGTCCCAAGAATGAGCAACTTGAGCAAGGTTGCTGGACTAGGGCAGGAGCAGCGTGGGGCCCATCTCACCTGTGGCTCTTGTTCTTGCAGGTGCCGGTGAAACACGTGTACCGTGTGCTTCAATGTCAGGAGGAAGAGCTCACACAAATGGTGTCCACCATGTCTGATGGCTGGAAGTTTGAACAGGTGAAGGTGCCTCTGCCACTCCCTCGCAGGCTGGGTTGGTGTGAGTCTGTTGATTACAATGGTCCCACCTGGGTCCTTAGGGCTGCTGGCCCCAGGGACCAGTGCGCAATGAGGCATCGAGCACCTGTGGATTCTGAAAACATGGTTTACTGGCAGCCTGTTGCCGTGGTGTTTGGGTGGGGAGGGTGGGGCTGTTCTTAGAGCACCTCCCCCCTCCCACTTCCTCTCTATTAATTCTGCAGTTATTCTTCTCGCTCTGGCTCATTCTTTTGGGGGGACTATTCTCTGAGTTTCTGTCTGGCATCCACTGTGTGTGTGGTTGACCTCCTGACCACGTCCTGGCCTGGCCCTGCTTCCGTGTCCCCCCTCATGTCTGCCCTGCCCCTCCTGTGCTGGCTGAGCAGACGGACCTCCGGCTCTTTCTGTGCTGGGGGTGGCGCATATGCCCTTCCTGGTGAGGCTGCTCTGCAGCCTCCAGCCTCTTTCTTGGTCTTGATTGGAAAGATGTTGCTGGTACATGTACACTTTCCTCTACTCTGCTCTTGCCACAAGCTGGGACTGATGGGACAGCATGTGAGTCCTCTTCCCTGCCTGAGCTCCCTCCCTGCAGCTCTACATACTGCTCTCGTCCTGAGCAGCTGCACTTGGTGCCTGTGGCCTTGGAACATGTCAAGGGTGTTCTCTGAGTGGCCAGCACTGTCCTACCAGTTTGTCATTGCTATCCACTGTTTCAGGCAGAGACTCTGAGATTTGGGCTTGTGACACTATTTGGCTCCCAGCCCAGCTACTAGTTGTGAAAGGTGGATACTGGCGCTGTGACTCTAGCCCCAGGTAGTGACTGCCGCCCTCAGTAGGCCCCCTCTGGCTTCTGGGAGTTTCCTCTGTTGCTAGCTTCCACTGGGGGCAGATTCTGTCCATAGTGAGTGGTGTTCCCCAGGGAGAATATGGGAAATTACATGGTCACCCCAGCATCTCTCCTAATAAAGTCCACCCCTGTTCTTTGGGTCTTTTGAAATAATGGATTGCATTGTAAAGCACTTGGAGTCCCCTTAAATTGTCACTAAACACAAGTGCAGTCAGCATGTGTGTCCCTCCCTCCACCCTGGGAGCAGCCACCAGGGCTGCTCTGTGAGTCCCTGTTCTGATGGCATTGCAGCTTGTTCTGCCCTGCCCTTGCCCTGGGGAGTCCGGGCAAGGGCCTGTGGTCTGTGTGTGTTTCTCATACCTCATGAGTCCCTCTGGAGACTCACGAAGGAACAGCAGTCTCCTGCCAGCCCTCGTGTTGTCCCTTGGTGTGCTCCTGGGCAAGGGCTAGAGAGGCGGGAGCTGCAATTACCAGTTCAGGATCAGTGAACCGGGTCACCCTCAGGTGGAGCTCAACACCTCTCTGGCTTGTGCCGGGAGGGAGACAGCACCTCCTGCCTTTTGCATGGGCGTCTTCTTCCACATGACCAGCTTCAGGACTTTGTCCTTAGTTCTTATGAGTGGATCCTCAATCCATTGAAAAGAGCTGGGTCCTCTCTTCTCAAGTCTTTCCACGCCCTTTGCCTGGTTTTCCCCCTGGGGACATGGTTCATACCAGCAAAAGCCCAGAACCAGAGTCATGTTTTTGTTTAAAGAGAAGTGCTTTACCTTCAGTAGGGGCTGGACCTGCTGCAAGGGACGTGGAGTCAAAGCCCAGGTCCAGCAAGGTGTCAGGACTGAACCCAGGGTCACCCAGCGGTCAGTGACAAGGGCAGAACGAGGTTCTAAGCGAGGTTTGGAAGAGGCTTGAATGCCTCGTGAGAACATGCCTCTGGCAGATCCAGTTATAAGTGACTACACCCCCACCGCCCTGTCTGTGTCTGGGGCCAGGCACCACTGTGGTCCAAAGGCGGCAGGGCCCATCTCCTGAGGGGCAGCTGTGAACCTAGAACAGACTTGCAGAAGCACGGGGAGAACGTGTCTGCCCCTTTTTGTGTGGGCCCCCTGTGCTTTCTCCTCCTCTGGCCATGCTGGCCTCACCATTCCAAATGTCCCTCACCTGGCTGCGTGCACCACCTCCACCTCAGCCTTCCCACATGCTTGTACCCAGAGGTCCCTCCTGCTTCTGGCCTCTCACGAGTGGAGATCCATACTTAGGGAGGCCAGAGATTGAGGGGCCTTCTAGGTGTTCATTGGCTCGACTATTATGCCATTGATGGTCTTACTACAATTTAGTGGTTTTCTTCTGATTAACTGTGCATTTAAAAGTACAGAAGCCCTTGGTGGCCCTGGGGTAGGCGGGGCAGGCTGACCCTCGGCCCTGCATGGTTGTGGTGCTGAGTGGGAAGCCCATGGAGATGGCTTACACAGACTGAGACTGAGGCATACAGAAGCCACAGCTTCCCAGCATCCATCTCTGGGATTCAGGCAGCTCTATCCTCTGTGGCCCTCCTCGGCCAGCCTTCCCTCCCGCCACCAGAGTGTAGTCCTTCTCCGTCAGTGGCCCCAGGGGAGGAAGGGTCTATCTTGGCTTCTCCTGGGAGGGCCTGATGGCTGCGGTGAGAAGCAGAATGTTTGGGAGCTTATCCTCATGTGCTCATGTGTGTGCACGCACATGTGTGCTCTGGGCCTTGTGTTATGGGAGCCCCTGGTGTGCTGGATGTCCCAGTTCTGCTGCCTGCCTGAGTGGACCAGCTCTGAGCACGATGCCCCTACCCTCTGTCCTCTGCACCCGACTTGGCATCGTGCTCCCTTCTTGTGGTCAGTCACATCTCGGGGGCCCAGAGAGCTGAAAGCAGCAGAGTCCTGCAGAGAAGGCCTGTCTCGCATGAAGTGTATGTGGGTGGTGGTGTTGCAGGTGTGGGTGTGGTGTACGTGCCCCCAGTATGGATGTGTTGGGACTTGATTTTCCCTAAGTTTACTAGAAACCTCTTAGCTGAAATCTGTCCCTTAATCTCTCCGAGTGTTGGCTGTCTCTGCCGTGGATTTTCACAGGTTGGAACTTCCTTCGTTGGGGGTGGCCTGGTCCTGAGCCGGGTGTGTACGTGGCTCTGCCCACATCACACCTGCCTTCTCTCCTCCCAGCTGGTCAGCATCGGCTCTTCCTACAACTATGGCAGTGAAGACCAGGCCGAGTTCCTCTGTGTGGTCTCCAAGGAGCTACACAACTCCCCATACGGTACGACCAGCGAGCCCAGCGAGAAAGCCAAGGTGAGTGACTCTGGGCCAGTGGGCAGGCAGCAGCTGTGGGTACTCTGGCCTCCTGCCAGCAGAGGGGGTTTGTGTGGGTGGAGGATGCCCTTCGTAGGGTTGGGTTTTTCCTTAGAGCTTTATTGTTTCTTGCTGTGCTCATCACACTCCCAGCTGTGCAGGCTCCCTGGCGGCTTGCTCACCTGTGCTTCTTGTTTATCATCATATAATTCTTGCGTGCATGTCAGAAGCAGAGTTCTGTATTGAAGGACATATATTGTCCCACAGGATGTGGGGGTTGGATTAAGGGGTCTTTGGATATAGTGTCCCCAATAGGGCGAGCCCCTATGACTTCTGCAGCCTACACCCTCTGCCAGCTCCCTCTTCCAGTGGGCAGAACTGCTCCTGGAAGTGTTGTGACTGTGCTTTTAGGTAATGCTGGTACTGTGGACTGCTTTCCTGGGGGTTTTGGACTAGGTTGCTGCTGGGAGGGGCACCTGCCTTGGCCACACCCACTGCTAATTGGGAATTGAGTTTGGTTTGTACAAGGAGTGTGGATCCTGCAGGTTCTGTTATGTTGGAGTCCATGGAGTGTGTCCTTGGTCTGGTATGGGCTAGCCCGTCTGTAAACTGGCATCGCTCCTGGGTGCTGGCTCTTCCCTCTGTGGGGAGAGCAATACAGCCAGGGCAAAATTGGAACTGCCATGTCATTTGCTTTTGGGCTAGCCACATGGCAGGGAGCAGTGGCTGGCCTTGCCCAGAGGCAGAAGATTCTGGTGGCCTCTCCTCTGGGTGTATTTCTGAGGTCAGGGATTCCAGGACAGGCAGAACCTAGCATTGGCCTGGGCTGGCTCTGCCTGGCAGGACCTCCAGGACTTGGAAGCAGATGGTGGCTGGACAGCCCTGCAACCAGCCCTGAAGAGGATTCAGGGGGTCTGAGCGGCCTTCGCAGAGCCCAGGACAGGATAATGTGAGGACTGGTGCAGGTTCCTATGGGGCTGGGCAGTAGGCAGGCATGTGGGGCATGAAGAAGTCCCAGGGCCAGCCCTGGGGTCGTGCTTCCCACAGAATCTGGGATGTTAGGTGACCCCACCTCCCTGCAATCCCCCAGCCTCACCAGGAGGCACATCTCTCTAAGGAGTTGTAGGGCCCTTTTGTAAGCTTTTTATTTTTAGAAGCTTTTATTTCTGAACTTAAAAATTTGTCATAGCCAAGCTCACCAGGGCAGCTGCCCTAGCGCATTTCCCTCAGGTGGCCTTTTCACTGCAGGAAAAAATGCGTCTGTGCTATGAGGGAACTCCAAGCATGATCCCAGAGCCCTTGGCCATTGAAAATACGGCCCTGTTTCTCTCCCTAAAATGCCTGGCTCTGAAGGGTGGTGGCCACAGTGACTTCTAAGCAAGAGCAGTGGCAGGAGCTCCCCAGGATGAGTGTGGTCGGGTCCTCTGGAAAGCCGTGGAAAACTGTTGGGGCTGGGTTGAGGATGGTGCTTTGGGGACACCCGTGTGTAGCTTAGTGGTCGCAGTGCTACACGTTCTGAGGGCAGTAGGTGTCACTGCTGTGGATCTGCTCACCAGGTGATGGCCTGCAGCACCTGATAGCCTCCCAGTGCTGATGGGTCAGCCTCCCTTCTCAAGGTGGAAGTGACTGGAGAGCAGGTGGGGTGGGGCTGCTCAGCTGGGGGAATGGTCCACACGAGAGCTGCTGAGTCCACCACCAGCTGCAAGTTCAGGGACCTCCCAAAGCATTCTCTGATTCCATGGTGTGCTGGAAGGATTCACAGAACTCACCACCCTTAATGCTCATGGTTACAGTTTATTACAGGAAGAATAGAGCGAGGATTCACACACCCCGGGGAGAGCTCATGGGAGCCATGCCAGACTCAGAGCTTCTTTGTGTATGCTCCTCACGGAGTCCGGATGTGGAGCAGCGTGAGCAGAACATTGCCCACTAGGATGTTCCCTTAGCCTCTGAGTCCAGAGATTTCACTGGGCTTGGTCACACAGACGTGATTGACCAGTGATTGATCACCCAGGTACCTGATGGTAGTCGCCAGCCCCCTGGATCCTGCCCCCCAACATTGTTAGACTATCCAGTGTGTCCTGGAGGTCATGATCTCCCAGGGGCCGGGGCAAAAGCCAGAGCTCAGTTTGGGCAAGGTTAAGTTCTTCACTATGAAGGGGAAGAAAACCTGGCACTTGGGGAGTGTTTGGGGCCCAGGCACCTGAGATGAGGCTGCTCTGTGCTTCGCTGCAAAGTGCAGCAGGAGTTCCTGGCTCTGCGTGCCCACCGTCCCTGAGGTCTCTCTGGGCCGCCTTCCCTCTGCGGCCTCCCTGCCTTGCCCTGCACTGATGGTGTCCTCTCTTCTTTTCCCGTGCTGCGTGGTATCAACCAGAGTGATGAGGAGGAGATGGGTCATGATGGGACTGACTCAGATTAAGTGTAAATGTCCTGGTGAGCTCTGCTGACCCTACAATGGACCCCATACCTTAGTCTTCTTGACCCAGCCCCTTGTCCACTGTCTCTGTCCCATGTGTGTAGTTGACAGAACTTTCCACACTAGATGCCAACTGTGTAGATCTGTAGTAGAGCCAGCTTGTCTGGGAATGAGGCTGTCTGTCTGTCCCCTGTAGGAAGCCTGTCTGGGTGGGCTTCGGACCTTGGCTGGCTTGCCTGAGAACCCTGTGTGTCAGGCTTCCTCACTGTGGATGTCAGTGGGCAAGGACAGGGGCTTGTACTTCCTGGGGGCTGGGCCACCCCCAGCCTGCCAGCCTTCCCATCCTGGTGCTGACCCATGAGTTGGGGCTGCGCTACAGAGGGTGGATGCTGGCCCCACAGTGCCCCTGCTCCCCAGGGCCTTGGGCAGGGGATGCTGGTGGAGAGTCTGTGTGGGTCCTCCTTCTGTTAGCCTCCTTAGCCCCTGGGTGCACCTTGCTTTCCTGTCATATCCTAGTTTTGTCTCACTGCCTGAGCTGATTCCAGGACTCGACTGCTGTTTTCCCCTCGCGGGAACCACCTCGCCTACTCCCTGTCTTGCGTACAGGAAGTTAAGGCCCAGAGAGGGCAGGGTGCAGTTTGACGAGCCCGGCATCATTCTGGGGCTCCCTGCTCCCACCAGGGCCCCCCTCATGGGCTGAGCCTTGTAAGCTGGGACCCTGGACCTCAGCCCTGGGAAGAGCTTGGAAAGGCACAAGGCACTGAAAAACCAACCTCTGGCCATGAGAAGTGCAGATTGGGGGCATTTTTATACTTTAAGTGGTTGGGATTTTGGAGGTGAGGGTTGTTATATAAGTACATAACATCCTCAGTTTTACCCTTTGATCTGCAAACCCTAAAATACGTATTTATTATTTGACCCTTTAAGAAAATGTTTGCTGAACATGGGTCTGGACCAGCTGTCAGAACCCAGGGACAGGCAGCACGACCTCCATCTGTCCTTTTAAACTCTCTAGTGCCCACATTAAATAAGCAGAAATAGGGAATTTATGCTGATAATCTTTCTTAATCCACTATATGCAAAAGTGTTGTCATTCCAACCTGAAAAATAATTGAGACACTGAACACTTCTTCACAGTCTCAGATCAGGCGTGTATTTGTATCTGTGGTCCTTCTCGGTTGGGGTGGCCATGTCTTAGCACAGCAGTATGCGGGCAGCAGGCCCTTGACTTTGGCCTGCCTGGTGGTGACCAGTGCTAGGAACTGTGATAGGAGCCAGCTGGGCATTGGGGGAGCCTGCGTGAGCTTGGAGGAGCTGTACCTGCTGGTTGGCTGTGGGGCGCTGGCACTGGGCCAGCATCTGAGAGGGACAAGGGGGCTTCTTTCAGCCCCCCTTTCCAGTTACTGATTTTGTATCTGCTGCCCTTCTCACAGCAGCCGGAGCTGCTGTGGTGGCCCTCGCTCAGGTCTGGGCTGTGAGAAGGGCGAGTGTGGGCTGGTCACAGAGCAGCCCCAGAGCTGCCCTAGCCTCCAGATCTGCCTGGGTCTGCCGGGGGGTGGGGTGCTGCTTGTGGTGTGTGGCCTGCCCTGGGCCCTGAAGGAGGTGGACCAGGTGAGAGCTCTGTCCAGGACAGACGGCACTGTAACTGTCACAGGTCCTGGGAGGGATCTTATGTTCACGTGAAAAGACAGTTGTTGGGATTCTGCTCTGGCGAGGCAGCCTCTCCTGTGTTGTTAGATTGTTCCCACGCCATGCTGTGGTTGTGTGGACCTTATTGTTTTTGCCACTTAGTCCTGCGAACTCAGAAACTCTCCTGCTGGGCTCCCACAAAGTGAAGGCAGCTTCATGGGCCCCCACATGCCCTAGCTTTCCTTGTAAACAGCAAAGATAAGGGGCCAGAAGACCCCCCGGGACTGGGACCAGTACCTTGTGGGCAGAAGGGAACTGCAGGGGCTGACAGGGCCTCCGGAGCTTTCCCAGTGAGCTGGCAAATCCTACTGAATCTAGGGACTTGCCCTTGTCTGGCCTGAGGAGGGGCGTGCAGTCTGGGGCTTTGCTCCCCCAGCACAGTGGAAGGGATGCCTTGCCTTGCAGGGACTGTAGCCCGGGCTGTCTGAACAGCCCCAGAGCTCTCAGAGACTCAGGGGCACAGGGCTGTGGACCAAGAGGGGTGTGGGGGTGTCAGGGGACAGCTGGAGTAACTCCCAAGAACTTCTGCCTTCTCTTGAGTCACTTGGATAAACCCTAGGTGACTGTGAGGGATGGGCACCCTGTGTGGGCAGCCTCCCTGGCTGGTGAGTCGGGGGCCAGCAAGACACTTGCTGTGAGCTTGAGATCATCGGCGGCTGCCTGCAGGGCCTTGCTGGAAGGCAATGACTCTCTCTCTGGCCAGAGCATCAGTGTGAGTCTGGGCCTGGCACGAGCAGGGCTGGCTCCCTTCCAAGGCATATCCTCATGTTGCACCTGGGCACATGGTGTACTTGAAGCCATATCTCTCTCAGCTCTGAAATTCAAGTGCAGAAAGCCCCAGGGCAGCTCTCTCTTACACTGCTGATGGGATCCCAGGGAGGGTAATCTTTCAGTATTGGCCTTGGCTAGGGTGGGCCAGGTTGGGACTTGTGGCCTGTCTGCCCGGGTTATCTGATGCTTAATATCAAAATAGCATTATTTGCCAGTTCTGAAGCCCCCCTCTGGGGACACAGGGTCCCGCTGCCTCTGCCTGGCCCATGTGGGGTTTGACTTTGTAGGCCTTTGCCAGTGCTCACGCCCGTCCCAGGAGGCTCCAGGCCTTTAGGAGCTCCCCAGTCCCATTTGGAGGTGGGTGGAGTGCACACGTGATTCCAGTGGTGAGAGAAGGGCTGGGGTCAGGTGGAAGGCTGCTCTTGCCAAGATGCCAAAAAAGAGTGGGAGGGAGAGGGGCGGCAGGCTTTTCTGGGCAGGCAGTGGGGTCAAGTATGTGTTCAGAGAGTCCTGTCTGGCTGCAGCAAGGAGGGGCTGGTACTTTTGAAGTGAGCATTCTAGCCACAGGGAGGCCAAGCACTGTGCAGTGAGACCCCCCCGAGCTCAGGCAGGCAGCATGCGGCGAGCTGGTGGGTGTGGGTGTAGGTGTAGGGTGGTGGGGCAGTCCTGGGAGCCTAGGGTTCTGGGTAGCATGATTCTGGGTTGTGGGGTGGAGGAGACATGGTTTACAATGGGGCACGAAAGAAGGAAGAGTGGCAGATTGGGATGGGGGCCTCTGGAATCTTGGGGGCCCCAGTTGTACTTATGTGTCTGCAGCCTAGGATCAAACTAGGCTGGAGAGGGATTTGGGAGTCAGTGCCCATCAGGTGGGCAGTTAATGCCCTGGGTGGGCTCTGGCACCCTTCAAAGGGGAGCAGAAGGTGCCATTGAGGGAGATGCTGCTGGCAGTCCCTGGGGCCTGATAAGGAGCTGTACCTGCTCTGGCTATGCATGTGTGTCTCAGGACTCATGGAGGAAGCTCAGGGAGGCACCCCGTGGAGGTAGGGGGTGTGCCTTTGTGATGTCAGGTTGGATGGAGAATGTGGAGAGTTGGAAGGGCCAGCTCCTTGTGTAAACCAGGAGATACAGAGGCAGTGCTCCATGGCGAGGGTCAGCTGGGCTGCTCCCCGGCCTGTTGGCAGACTCTGGCTCTGGTGCTGGCTTCCTCTGGTGCTGAGCCATCTGCGGGCTCCGCTCCCTGGAGCAGGGCCCTGGGCTCCAAGGCTGCGTAGCTCCTGCTTCCCTGTGCAAGACCCAAGTTCTCATTCTCTGCACTTGACATTTTCAGATTTTGCAAGAACGAGGTTCAAGGATGTGAGGAACACAGTGTTGACAGCTGAAGAAACATTTTACTTTTTCCAAGATGCAACGAACTGCCATGTTGAGGAAGCTCGGCCATGAGAAGAAACCTGCTTTTAACAATTTCTCTAGAGATCTGGGTGTGAATCCTTTTTTTGCCTCTGAGGTGGGTGGTGAGAGACGTGACCAGCTGTCTAAGGCCAGGCATCCCCCACTAGGAGGAAGCGTGCTGGCCAGGAGGGCATTCCTATAGGGGCCTCCGCTGGTTTTTCCAAGTGCCACAGAGGCCTGAGGCAGGATGCTCCTGACCGACCCCTTTAATCACCGGAGACCATTTAAAGGATAGCGTTCTTGGTGCTACATAAACTGTCTGAAATGGGCCCAGGGCCTTGCTGGTAGGGAGCGGACACAGTGCAGTGGCCCTGGCCTCTGGGCGGCTGCTGGTCACCCACACCGCACCAAGCTCTGGTTCTTGGGTCAGAGTCCTGCCCAGGTGTGGCTGGTTGGTGGTTTCTCACAGCCTTGAGCAGCTTTTGACAGAGCGGCCTCCAGGTGTTCACTGCTTCCCCAGGGCCCTGCCCTAAGGCTGGGCCAGCTCCAGAGCCTTGCTCCCCTGGCCTGGCCTGGCCGGAACAGTCAAGGCTTCTCCACTTGTATTTTCCAGGCGAGAGACTTCTGCATCTCTTACTTCCCAGTGTGGATAGACGTTCCCAATGTTTTTACTTTCTAGAAATGCCTAAAAGTGTTGCTGCATTTTGGATTGATCTATTGTCACTTAAAGGGAGGTGGGAATTGCAACTTGTTCATCCCGCCCACGGCTCATGCGGAACCTGGCGCTCATCAGCGCATTTGTCTCGCCGGGGGTGGAGGTGTGAGTGGGAGGCCTGTCCACCTGGCTGCCAGAGCTGAAACTCCAGGTCACATTGAAAATCGGATGTTTACAGCGCATCACAAATATTTCTCTTTCTTGCCGGCTCTTTCGTTTTCTTTGTATAACTATGCAGTTCTCTCTGACATTTCCGGGATATTTGAGACTTCACCTATGGGCTCTGCCCACCTGATGTGACATCGGAGCTACCAGGCTTCCTCTGAAATCCACTGTCCACATGCTTTGAGAACAGACCTTTCTGAGCTGGTTGTGGGGGCTGCCAGATTCCGGGGGGCCTGGGTCGGACGAGCAGCTCTCCGTTTCCTGACTGGGCCTCCCAGGGGAGCTGCGCGCCCTGGCGCCGGGGCTGCTGACACGTCGGGCACAAGCTCGGACACGTCCGGTTTCAAATGCTTCCGGAGGCATCTCACCTGTGCCCTCTTCTCCTTTGCCAATAAATAACCTGATTAACCAAGTTCTTCAGCACCTAGGACTTACCTACTCCTTTGTGTAAGGCCTGTTGTATGTTGTCCAATGTTTGGCTTCAGCCATTTAGAGCGACTTTTCTGTGGGGCGCATGTCGCTCTCGGTGACCCGTTCTCCTCACGGGGCCTCGGGTGGAGGGCGGCCCTTGCTGGACTCCGGGTGTTCCTGTGAGGCCCTGCTGGTTGCTTATTGTCATTTAATTTGTGACCTTGACATTTTAGATAGGCTTTTTTTTTTAATTTAAAGATATTAAGACTTAATTCACTAAAATTTATTCTAAGGGGATATTTATACTTTTATACTTTTTTAGGTATCCGTATTTTATCAGCTTACAGTTTAATGCCTAAGTTTCCCCTGAAAATAGCAAATAAAATCGTGTATTTATGAATCAGCAGAGCAACTATTAGTGTCTTAAAATACATGGAAAAGCCCTTGGTGACACTGGGCAGAGTCAGTGGCCAGGGTGGAACCGGCCACCTGTCTGTCACTGTTCCAGGAGGCTGGCTGGGGGGTTAGCACAGCACACACTCCGGGACCAGGAGATTATCTCTGAATGACTTTTTGTGAAGTACAATGCCTCACCAAGTTAAGTGTGTCCACCTATTTTGTGTCTTACTCTGGCCAGAAGCATCCACTTCAAGTTCCTTCGTGTCCTTGGGCATTCCGAGCTCCCCGCCCCACCCCTCCCCACAGCTCCCACCCCCCACAGTCACTCTGGCTCCCACTGGTGGCTTCTGTTCGGGAGCTCCTGGGGTGCTGTCCACACTTCAGGGAAATTCCTGTTCCCTTGTTCCCTGGGGAGCCCTGGCTTCCTGAGGCTGGCTAGGATGTCCTTGACCCCAAGATGCTGGAATCTTGGGCTTTCCAAACTTCTGGTCTCTCAGTGTCTCTCCTGTTTCCAGGTACGTGGCCAGCCTGGCCAGGGGTCCTGGGGTCCTGGAAGGGGACCTTTTCTGCCTGCCCGGACTGGGGGCAGGGACGGCCTGCCTGGGGGCGGGGTCTCTTCAGCACTCGGTGTGCCGCTCAGGGCACGTGGGGAAGGACTCCAAGTTCTGCTCTGAGGAGTTTGCTTTCTGAACAGACTAAACTTGGCATCACCTGGCTCCCTGATGCCAACACCGAACCTGGACATGCCTCTAGTTCCTGCTGCCAGGTGGGTTCTTGGGAGAGGTTCCAGAGTATCTCGGGTATCCCTGTCAAAGCCCTGAGCTTGTCTTGTGTTCCAGCAAAGGACTGAAAAGGAGACAACCATCTAATCTGGGTCTCGAGATCGAGGAGGGAGCCCTGCCCCTTGGACCTTGCCCTCTAAGCCAGCCTGCCTGCCTGAAGGGTGTGTGGGTAGGGCCAAGTGACACAGCTCCCCGGGGCCACCAGCCCTGTGGCTCCAGGAAGCCAGAGGACAACAGGAGAGGAAGGCAGGCGCTTGGTGTGTGCAGGATCCCTGCGTGGGCGCCCAGCTGCCGGCCTCCGGCAGAGCAGAGCACATGTCTAGAGGCTTCCAGGGCTCTGCACAGGGCAGGCACCACCCCTTGACCTCTTGCCTTGTCCCTCCTCTCCCTGCGTTTACTTGCATCCACCCAACAGGTGCTCTGGCATCTTTCATCCTCCTCTGGGCTGGTGTCCCCATTACCTCTCAGTCCCTGAGCCCAGTTGAGGCAATAAAGGGCTGAGTCAGCAGGGCAGCTGTTCACCCACAGAGCCTGTGTGCTCAGGCTGGTGGGGCATCAGGGCACAGGTGCCCTGGAGTCTGTGGGGTCTGCATTCTTCAGCAGGAGCAGCTCCACTGCAGCAGCTTTAGAATAAGCTGTGATTCCCTGGCACACTGAAAATCTGGGTGCTGGTGTACAACCCCTAGGTGAGCAGAGGTGGGTGTTTGGCTTCGGGGGCTTTGATTTGCATCCCCCCTTTGCCTTCTCCCCCTCCATGCCTCACGAGTGGTAGCATCAGACCTAGGGCCCAGCTCGGGGCACACTGCCAGTCCTATGACATCAGAGCCATGGTGGACCTCTGGTCCTTGAGGCCAGAAGGGGTCTGGCCCAGCAGTTTTCTTTCCTGGGGCTCCTGTGGGCTAATCATAATGCTTACATGTGCATGCCCGTGTATGGGCATGTGTGGTGTGTGTGCGTGTGTGTGGATGTCCAGGATTGGTACGGCCCACAGGAGCTGGTCTCTCTCCAACTCATGCTTCACCTGTAGGCTGCTGTGGTTGCTACAGGGTGGGTCTTTCATGGTGGTCTCTGCCCTGGGTTGGGCTTGCTCCCTTCTACTCCTCTGTGGGGGCAGCAGAGAGTCTACAGTTCTCCAAAGTGCTCTACGGGCTGCTGACCTAATCCTGGCACTGCCACCCACCACCTAGCAGGTGGCCGGGAGGTACTGCTTGGTGACAGTGTGGCAAGTTGTTTCTGAGCTGTGCCCCTGCCAAGGTTGGGGAAGGGGACTGCGACAGGTAGGGGTGTGTCTCCTTAATCTCTCACAACACTGCTGTGAACTGTGAATGGTGTGAAATAAACCTGCTTTCTCTTTTAATCTCCTGTTCTCTTCTGTAGTGTTTGCCTTTCCTCTCCATAGTCCTCTGGTCGAGCATCTGCCCGGGTCCTGGCGGAAACAGTGTTGGGGAGGCCGGCAGTGGGGGAGCCAAGTCCTAGGTTGGCCACCACCTTGAATGTGGCAGCTTGCAGTAGCTCTGGCTACATCAGAGGCCCTGCCCAGGACCCCAGATTCCCCTCCCAACCCAGCTGGGTGTGGTGTTGCTGGGGGCCAGGCTACCCTGGTGTCTGTGCCCCTCTTCCCTGCTAGCCCCACAGGGCCTGACCCCTGCCCTGTCGTGGGAGGACTGAAGGGGTACTGAGGGACCCCAGGGCACTCAGAAAGCTGGGACAGCAGACAGGAGGAGGCAAAGATGGGATGTTGAGTCCTCCGAGGGGAGCCTGGTTCTTGCCCACCTCCAGGCAGTGAGGCTGCATTCTGGCCTCCCCACAGAGGCTGCAGGGGGCTTCCCTCCAGGAACCACCTAATCCTGAACTGACCCCCTACCACAAGGCCCGAAGCTTTTTAATACCTCCAGAGCAGTGGGCTGGGGTCAGCCAAGCCTTTTTCTAAGGGTTCGGGACCCAGGGGCAGTCCCTGGTCCCAGCCCGGAAGACCCAGAACTTGTATCTAGGGCTGCCCTCAGGGCACTTATAGTTTGGTTCCACCCCCCACCCCCAATCCCCCACCTGGGCCTTGGTATACCTGCTGCTCCCGGAGGGGCTCAGAGCCCACCTCCGGTCCAGAGAAGGTGCACAGCACACAGCCTAGTCCCCGGAGCGTAACAGAGCGGGGACCTGCCAACAGGTAAGTGGGGCCACCACGAGCTTCTGCCCATCATTGCACCTCCCAGCGGTACTTCCTGCCTGGAGGCAGGGATGTGCTGGGCAAAGTGGAATGCCGAGGGGAATTAAGTATTTGTTCCCACTCTGTCCCCAGGGATAGTCCTCAGCAGGTGCGTGCTAAGTGAGTATTGATTATTCCATAAATACCCAGGCCTGCTTGCTTCCCGGCACCAGGCTGGCAGGCTGTGAGCACAAGTTGTATGCATGTGTGTGTGTGTGGGGGGGGGTATTTTCTGTGTGCAGATGTGCATGCGTTGTATACTAGTGGGTGTGTGCACATATGTGAGTGAAGGCATGGATATGCACAGGTGTCTGCACCAATGTGCATGTGGTTGTGCTAGGGAGTGTGTTCATGAATGTGTGGATGTGTGTGTGCAAGGTGGCAGTAAACAGGTCCCTGCCCTCCTGAGGAGTCTTGTCCGGTTCATTATCGCTTAGCATGGCAGGTAAGCCCAGGTCCCTTTGAGAGTCAGTCCACATTGGGGGCAGACCTGACCATCTGGCCACATGAGGGGCCTGCTGTGGATGTGCTGGAGCCAGCCGGACCCTGAGGCTGACCCGTGGGCAGACAGGCCCTCACAGGAGGGCCAGCACAGGCTGGATGCCAGAGCTCCAGAGGCCTGTTTATGTTGGGTTCCTGGTGGTGACAAGCTGCAAAGGGCCACACTGGGAAGGAGGGCAGGTGTAGGGAGATTATGTGGGGGTTGCTAATGACGGGTGAGTGTGGGGATGTAGAGCTGGGCCCAGGCCAGGCAGCAGGCTGGGTGGGTGGGCGCACTTCATGCGGGACTTTGGGTCCTCTATGAATTTGAGGGGACGGTTCCTTGCAGAAACCATTAAAGACACCAGCAAATATGGCCTGAACCCCCAAACTCTGGAAGGAGGAAGAACGGGTCCCAGCTCGGGGAGCCAACAAAGCTTCAGCCTCCATGACTCTAAGTGGCCTGGGCCTTGCCTCTGTGTGACACCTGTCACAGCGCTGACTGCCCATGCAGTATGTGGGATTGATGGGGCCACAGTGGTCCCTGCACCCAGAGGTTTGGGGAAGTCCAGCCCCTGGGGCGTTGGGGCTGCAGGGTCCCAGTGAAGCTGTCACCAGGGAGTTGCAAGGATGGTATGGAGCCTCAGAGGGAGGCAGGCAGGCACCGGAGCCCACGGCAGGACCCACATCTCCATCTCCTGGCCACATCCTCTGGCAGATCCACCATCCACCCAGTCCCCTCTGAGAGGCAGGCGAGGGTGCTGTCCCAGGTTACAGGAGAGACGTGGACTCAGAGGGGACGGTGATTTGTCCCATGTCTCCCAGTAGATGTGCCCCGACTCCAGTCCCCTACCCCTACAGCTTTGGACTCACCAGCGGGGCGGTGGAGGCTGAGGGAGGGTAGAGGAAAATGAGCTGGGAGTCGAGGGGAACCTGGGGAACAGGGAGCCCCTAGGGGCCCCTGCCTCCTCCCCATGGGGGTAGGAAACCATGGTTGTTATTTGGGGAAGTCTTGGGGTGACTCAGACATAGAAAGTAGGGGATGTGATTCCCCCATGCCCCACAAAACCCTTCTCCTCCAGGACCCTCTGCCAGGCCCCCCCACCCTGTCCTTTCTACTGTGAGGGTGGCGTAGGCAAGGACAATGAAGCGGGGGTGGGGGTGGGGGAGCCTCCTGTGAGGGCTCTTGGGGCAGGTGTCATGGAACACTGAAGACCTGAACTCCAGTGACATCTAGCCTCCACTGCCTGCTGCAGCTCCCTTCTCACCAGGACCCTTCCCTCCAAATGCTTCCACCTGATGTTTTGTCCAGATACAACTCCTCAGGGCCCACCCTCTGGTTAGGTGGCTCTCTACTCCCCTCTTGCCCTGAGGCTCCACACCTGGGCAGCTGGCACTGAGTTTGGGTTTTTATTGGATGGTGAACATAAATAAAAATAACTGGACATTTGAGTAAAGAGAATCAGCTATTTACAAATGTACATGTGGACTCCGGGGCTGCACTCGCCCACCTGCCTGAACAAGGCTCAGAAGCCAGAGAGCAGGGCTGCAAGCACCAGGAGGATGGTGTGCGCCGCCAGGCAGGGTGCAGAGTTCTGCTCACGGGGCTGCTGCCCCCTGGGGCCCCGCTTCTGGCCGCCCGACCTGGCGTGCTGGAACTGCAGCTCTGGGATGATGCGATGGATCCAGTCATAGTGGGAGGTGACCCGGATGTAGACACCTGGGCGGTTCCGGCGGGCACAACCCTCACCCCAGCTGATCACCCCAGCCTGCAGCCACGACTGGCCCACGAGGCATACCAGAGGGCCCCCCGAGTCACCCTGCAGAGGAAACAGAGGCACCATCAGAGCCCGCAGGGGCCCAAGAGCCAACAGGTACACATGCACGCACACACCTGTTTTCTTCCCGTTGTCTCTCCTCAACTCCCCACCCTAGGAGTGTCCCTGCCTAGCTCCCCTCACACCAGTGGGTCCTTCCTTTTCTGGCTTAGGGTGCCCATTTCTCTAGTATCCCCAGTTCACCTGCTCAGAGGGGTGTTTTGAAAATGTATTTTCCTGAGTCCCACTGCCAACCTACTGACTGCAGCCCTGGCAGCGGGAAGGGGAGCAGGCAGGATCCAGGAATCTGCTTTTCCCAGCTGATGGGATGCACAGCTTTGGGCTGGCTGTGGACCAACCTACTAGGGCCTTATCGGGCTGGGCTGGCTCCCACTGGACCTAGGCCTAGGGAGCAGGGCTCAGCCTCCAGCGTGGCCCATCCCAGCTCCTACCTTGCAGGCGTCCTTCTTGCCCTCAGCGAAGCCGGCACACAGCATGTCATCCTTGATGGTTTTAGGCTGGAAGATAGACTCAGTATCTTTGCTGTAGAGTAGGTTGCACTTGGGTGTGTCAATGATGGGCACTGCGAGTTTCTGCAGGATTCGAGGGTTAGGCAAGCGGTCTGCGGAGGGGCAAAACAGCCTGCAGCTCAGTGGACAGTTCTTAAGAACTGCAGCTCTGTCCTTCCCCATTTATTGCTTGGGTTTGGACCTCTTCTCGCTTGGGGCTTTGTGGAACAGAATTCCTTCTTCCCTTCTGTGCACCAGGCTGGGCTCTTTCTGTCCTCTCTACTTTCCCGTGGCTCCTCCTCCTGCATCTACTGCCCCTTCCCTATACCCATTCTACTGATTTGAGTAAAGATCATGTGTACCAATATCAACAGAAAAAGACTGTTGCTTCGGAATGGCCCCCAACCTGCCTAGGACCTGGGACCTTCTCTAAGGCATGTCCCCCACTCTGTCCTGCCCCTGTCCCATTACCTTGTTCACTGGGGCTGCCCCAGCCGGTGACCCAGCAATTCATGCCTGTCTCAAAGACGACTGAGGGGTCAGGCACGCACACAGGGAGGATGTAATTGGTGAAGGTCACAGGTGCCTCCAACTCCACCAGGGCCACATCAGCACTGGAGGCCATGCCCTGGTATAGGGGGTTGCTCTGCACCCTCTTCACCTGTGCATATGTGGCATGTGGCCCCGGCTTCACCAACTGCCGTGCCCCCAGTAGGACCCGGTACAGGGATGTTTCGGAGGTGCTGGTGGGAAAGAGCAGAGAGCTGGTGTGAGGGGGCCCCTCTGGGGTCTCAAAGGGGGAGCTGCTGCAGATTAGATGGAGAAGGGGAAAGGGAGGTGTCAGCGTTGTTCCGCTGCTGCCAGATACCACCTTCCTGGCCTCGAGGTCCATACCTGACATCTCTCTGCACACTATCTCCAAAAAAGTAGTCTCCACAAGGACATACATCAGGGCAAGTTGCTTAGGATGTACAAGCTACAGCAGCTTTAATTTCTGGCTTTAATTCCCAGCTCCACCCCTGGCTAGCTGGGTGACCTTGGGCAAGTCACCTATTGAGTTCTCTGTGACTCAGTTTCCTTGGCTATGACAGGGGACAGTAAAAGACTTGCTGTGAGGGGTGAAGGAGCAGACTGCCCACAAGGATGCAGCTGGGGCCAGCCAACTGGGGACTGGGCCCAGCTGCCCCGTGGGCCTTGGGCGTGTGAACCACTCCCTCTGACCCTGCGTTACTGAATTTAACATGTGAGGTTTTAAAGGAATTGTAGTGCTGTGATGAGGCAAGAGCCGAGGTGCCTGGGAAACCCTGGCGGTCAGGGGCCAGGTGGTTCACGGTGGTTTACTAAGTAGGGATGAGTAGTCTGGGCCTTTGGTCAGAAATGCTATGGGTGTCACTCCCTCTCTTTCTCCTTCCCTTCCCCTCTTTCTAAACATAAATAAATACATTAAAAAAATTTTTTTTAAAAATTTTACCCATTTATTTTTAGAGAGGGAAGGGAGGGAGGGAGGGAGGGAGGGAGAGAGAGAGAGAGAGAGAGAGAGGGAGAGAAACATCAATGTGCGGTTGCTGGGGGCCGTGGCCTGCAACCCAGGTATGTGGTCTGACTGGGAATTGAACCTGAGACACTTTGGCTCGCAGCCTGTGCTCAATCCACTGAGCTACGCCAGCCAGGACTTAATAAAATTTTTTTAAATAATAATAATAATAATAATAATAATAAAAACCTGCCCTGGCTGGTGTGGCTCAGTGGACTGAATGCCAACCTGCAAATGAAAGGGTCGCCGGTTCAATTCCCAGTCAGGGCACATGCCTGGGCTTCGGGCCAGGTCCCCAGTAAGGGATGTGCAAGAGGCAACCACACATTGATGTTTCTCTCCCTCTCTCCTTCCCTCCTCCTCTCTCTAAAAATAAATAAAATACTTTTTAAAATAAGAAAGAAATGCTATGGGTGATCTTAGACAGTGTGAGGAGGAGAAAAGGATATTCTACTCCAGTCCCTGGGCTCATCTGTAACCAGAGACTCAGCTAGAAAAGGGAGTGTCCTGGATTTGAGGTGTGGGAGAGGGGATCAGGATAAGGGCCAGGGTGTGGGAGGAGCCTGCCAGCATTTGCAGGGACAGGGCCTCAGGCCTGCCCAAGCACCTCACTGATGAGACCAGCAATGGATCTCATGGATGGGCCACAGGAAGCAAAGGCTGGGAAGCAGTGATTGAAGCTGGAAGTTAGCCTCAAAGTTAGATTTAAAGGGAGCTCTGGCCAAGAAGGTGGGCCAGAGCTGGACAGGTGTTAGTTGCTGGCCAAGGTGCCGAAGCCCAGCAGGGTGTGGGGCTTGGTCAGCAGTGGCCCTGGTGCAGAGCCTGGGTGGTCACAGGCAGTTGGTAGTGAGGGAGAGCGTGGTGGGTACTCACTTGGAGAAGCAGTGTGCTGCAGTGAGGACCCACCGCTCCGTGATGAGGCTGCCCCCACAGAAGTGGCTTCCGTTTCGCTGGATGCTGACTTGCCATGGCCACTCGCCCTCCAAGGCATCCTGCCCACCCACCATCCGGTTTAACCTTCTCGGGCGTCCGCAGACTAGGGGAAGACAGCCGGGACAGTGCTCACTGGGGTCAGTTCCATCAGCTGATTCCCTGCCCCAACTCCACATCCCGGCTTCTGCTCTCTGCTCAATCCAGGGCCCTCCCCATCTCTGACCTTCTTGGGGACCCTGGGCATGTCATATGCCTGGGCATCAGGTCAGCCTCTGAACAGGCATACCCTTCCCAGCTTTGGGAAAGGACATCCCCCCTGCACCCCGTGGCCTCACATCCCTCACCCGTGAAATAGTGGCATCATGAGGAGGGTCGAGGAAACACTTGCAGAGGTCTCATCCCATCATCTGACCAACAGGGGCTCCCAGAGGACAGTGGGTGTGGGGAGGGCCCTTCAGATTCCATCCTCAGCTTCTTCGCTGTCACTTTTTCCTGCCCCCATCTCCATGCTTCATGCCTTAATGACTCTTTTGTGCCATCTGCAATGTATATCAGACCTTCCTGTCTAGGCACCAATTCCACAGACCCATGACTTTTCCTTGGGGATTCCCTGTGCCCCGCCCATTTATTCTGAGTCTCCTTCAGAGTGAGTGAGAGAGCCTCTGGCCAGTCTTGCTGCTCTAACATGCCTGCTCCTGTCCCCCCACCCAGGAGTCTTAGGGCTTACCGCTCAATGCCTTGGTCCTCTGAGTCCCTGGAAAGGAGAAAAGAGGGGGTGATCAGCCAACTTGCCAAAGCCAGAGTCTGCTCCTCCCCTGCCCACTGCTGGGCAGTGTGGCCCTCTTTTACTCCGCACCCAGTGCCCTGACAACTCAGGACAGTTCACAAAGGACCTGGCAGGAGAGGCTAGGGGCCTTCAGATTTCCTACAGGACCTCCCTTCGAGGTCTACAGGCCCAGGCCTGTGGGCCAGACCTTGTCTGCAAGGGCAGACAGACTCCTTGCCATACAAGGAAATAATCAGAAGATGCCAGTAAGAGGAACCAGTCATGGCCACTTAGGGCAAGATGGCTTCTGTCATCCCCACAGAGGTCTCTTCCTTCACACCCCGCACCCATCCTTGTCCGGAAGCTCTGCGGAGGATCCAGCCATAAGCACTGGTGCCGTGGGGCCTGCGTTTCCCACTTCAGACAGCCCAGAGCTAAGATAAAGGATGAGTCCCTGGGAGTTTCCTTTGAATTTCAGGGATCTGGGCCTTCTTACACAGTCTGTTTTGAGGCTCAAGTCTCCAATCTAACTTCAGTCCTGAGACTACAGCCCAGCCCCATAGGTCTTTCTGGCCTCAGGGTAGCAGAGAGAAGCCAGTCAGAGGTCATTGTGGGTCAGTCTTCCCAAGATTCTAGATTTGCAAGAGCTGATCCCTCTAACAGGCATCCCAGCATGTTCTGCAGTTGGACCCCAAGATTGTCTGCTGGGCCATGGCACCCTACGGTGGGGGAGGGTAAGGGACAGGCAGAGGGGTGGGGCTAGAGCAGTTCCGAGGGCCCATCTACCCAGGATCCATTTTCCCCCATGTCTCTGGACACAGGCACATGGCCTGCTGCTAGGCCTTTACAGGACCCTCAACCCCAGCCTTGAGACACCAGCCACGGCGACAGTCTCATCCAGTGCCGGCAACAATCTGGAAACACCTGCCCCTCAAAGAGGGACCCTGCACCCCAGAATCTCTGGTTCACTGGGGGCAGAACTGACCAGAGCTGGGGTGGGGGCTCAGGACAGCCGCTCCCCACCTCGCCCTTCAGCATTTCTCCTACGTCCCGACCTCTTTGGGGGCCTAGAGGGTGGGGCAGCTGCTACTGAACCTGTCTTCGCTCTGACCAGAATGGTAACCAGCTTCATGGAAGTGAGAGGGGCCCCTGTGGTGGGAAGCTCAGGGCTGAGCCACACGTCTCCGTGGGGTGCCCAAGGACCCTGGGGTGTTTTTTTTTTTTTGATCCTCATTCTTCCAGCCAGACTCTCAGTTCAAAGGGTACACTCCCCAGTGCTGAAGTGTTGAGGTTGGATGATGCAGTGAGTGGGGAGAGCTATGGATGTGGTGAGAGGAGGTGGACACTGTGGGAGCTGAGAAGCCACAGGCGGGAGAGGCCACTCTTCAAAGTAGGGGTGCCAGACAGAAGTGCCGGGGCAAGAGTGGGGTCGGGCTGGGCCAATGAATGGAATAGGGAGTCTGTTGGATGTTCTGTTCATGGATTTGTGTTCATAAGGTGCCTTTTGAAAATGCAAATATTCTCTGGGAGAGCTGCACCCTCTAACACCCTGATCTTAGTACAATATAATTGTTAGATTAATAACACCTGACCCCCTGCTCTTGCTTCTTTTTGCACGTGATGCTCTGGTTCACCCTCATCTACTCACCAGCACTAACATACTTACAGGCTCATTCCCTTCCTGTGAGAATTTTTCAGAGATTTGTCCTGGTTCTCCCCACAGCCATCCCCTTCCCACATATGCAGACAGATCCAGGGTCCACTCCCAGAGTCCAGTGTGCATGCCTGTGGCCTGGCAGGACCGCTTTGAGGGTTTGCTCACGATACCGCTCTTCCTGGAGGCCCTTCATTTCTAGTCGCTATAGGTCCAAATCCTACATGTCTGAATCCAGGTCCTTGCAGAGCTCTGCCTACCTTGCTCACCCTGGAGGTAGAATCAACTATCTCACCGACTGGCCCAGGAACTCCCTGAAGTCAGAACCCACACCCAGAGGCCTGAGCCCAGGAAATATAGGATGGAGGGAGAATGGCTGTGGGGGCTGGGCTATCCAGGAAGGGATGAAGTGGAGACCTGGGCTCTGCAGCGTGGGTGTCATGTCAGGGGCTGGGTGAGCCAGCCAGGAGGGCAGGTCTCTTGTCTGGGCCCAGGGCCCCCCTGCTCTGGTAGCTGGTGGGGATGGGAGTGGCCGAAAGCTCTAGGAAGGAAGAGCTAGAGGTGGGGGTGAGGAGGGTGTTGAAGAAGTCAGGCTTTTGGTCACAGCTGTAGGTGAGTCAAATGCAGGCCTCTGTTTCCACCTTGGCAATGACCTTGATTACTCAACCCATCAGGAGCAATCACTGTTACACCCCCTGATGGAGATGGGCTCCCTCAAAGAACATTGTTATTCCTATGCCAGGAGGCCGGGAGGGGAGACCTGGGGGGCCAAGAGAGGCTGGCCCTCCCCACTGAAGTGCCACCCTGAGGCCCTCCAAAGCCTGGTGGGAAGCCTAAAGCCATGGCCAAGGTGTGCCCTCGGGGACCCAGCCCAGCCCTGGGAGGTGACTTAAGGACAGGGAAGTGAGGTGGTAGCTGGGCTGGCCAGGCTAGCTCAGGAATGCAGGAAGGTTTCCCTGGTAGAGAGTAGCCTGCCCCTCCAGGAGGGGCCTGATAGGTGGGGCTCCCTGGCTGGCACCTGCTGACCCTGACCCAGTATTAGAAGAGGGGACAGGGATGCAAGGCTTGGTCCTCCGCATACCTTCCCTCTAGTAGAAAGAGGAGCCTGCATCCCTAGCCCTCACTCCCCCAAGGCTTCCCACTGAGTCCCTGCCAGCCTCCTGGGGCGCCCAGGCTCAGGCAGCAGCTCAGCCTTCTGGCGGCTCAGCTGATGGATGTTCAGGGATTTGGAACCCAGTGGGCCTGTGTCTTCACATGGAAGATGGGGAAAAGCCAGATAAGAGGCAGAGGCAACAAGCCGAGAGCTTGGCCCAAGAGTTTGGAGACAAGTGAGGAGAAGGGAGCAAAGCCTCTGTCCGTGTCACTGTCTCTTGGTCCTGTGCCCACACCCCCGCCCTGTCTTCCCCACTTCACTGTCTCAGGTGGGACATCTGGACCTTCCTACCCCCCAGGAGCTGCAGAGGCCTGTCTTCAGCCCCAGGCCTGGCCAGGGCGTGGGGGGCTTAGCTAGAGCTCCAGGGAGGGCAGAGGAGGCCCCTCTGGGAGGGGAGGAACAAGTTCCTGCAACATCTGGGACTCACCAAACCGCAGCAGCAGCAGCAGGAACAGGGCCACGGCTGGTGGCCACCTCATGATCTCAGGCCTGGCTGGGGTACCAGGTGGGGGGACAGCAGTGGTGGGATCTCCTGGAGCACTAGAGTGAGGTGCCGGCCTCCATGAAGTGGGGTTTTATGCTGGAGGTGAGTGTCGGCTTGGCTATGTTGCCCAACCTGTTGGCCTGGCCTGCCCGGCTCCTGTTGCAGGAAGGAGGCACCTAGAACCCTGACTCCTCCATGACCTGACCCTGAACTCCCTGTATCCCAAAGGGCCAAACCTTTCACCCTAACACACCTCAGGGTCTTGGAGCAAGGCTGCACTAGCTCCGTTTGGGCATTTGTAGCCTGGGGTTTTCTGCCTGCCACCATGAGCTGACCACAGACACCTCCCAATTGACCACAGTTCTCCCATGAGCAAGCTGTCTGTAGTCCAGAGGAGAACCTCCCTGTTTCATTCATTCATTTGTTCATTCATATTTATTGAGCACCTACTATGTACCAGGCATCAGTGAGTCAGAGTCCAGACAGGGTCTTACATTAATGTGTGTGTGTGTGCAGGGGCAGGGGGGAGGGTAGACTGGGAAAAGTCCAGGTCACCTGTACTTATGGAACAAAGAACAGGGGAAAGAATCGGGACATGGGAGGTGTCCCCTGCTGACCCCAGTGCCCCTCTCGGGTTTTACCCCCAGGAAACTGAGTCCCAGAAGCGCCCACCCAAACGTGTCGTCCCAGGATCCAGCCCAGGGTGGCCCCAACGCCGGTCCTTGGGGCTGCAACCTCCATCCTCGTCTAGGGGCGGGGTCGGGGAGGGGGCTTTCCGGAACCCACAGGTCCCGGCGGGGCGGGGCAGAAGCTGGTTCTGGGAAGTCCTGGCCGGGATAACCTTCCCCTGCGTCCCTGCCCTGGGTGCGGCCGGCCGGGCTCCAGAACGTGTGGTGGTGACGGCGGAAGCAGCTCCAGGAGGAAGTTATTTGGCACAAGGTGCTGACGTCAGAGCCCGGGTTGGGGCTCGGGTAGCCGCTCCCCGTCCGGGCAGCGGGGTCAGCGTGGGGGTGAAGCTCCGTGTAAGGTCTGGAGCTCCCCAATAGGCCTGGGGGCGGGGGAGGGGCGCTGGGTGGCAGGCTGAGTGCTGCCTCAGTTTCCCTTCCTGAGCAATAGGTACGTGCATGGATTGGGTGTGCTGTGGTGCACCGCAGGAGGTAGTGAAGGCCGGAGTCGCTGGCCCCTGGGCGGAGCTCGGTAACCACCCCCACCTCACCCCAGCCTCGATCTGGGCCTTGGCGGGTGCTCCTGGTCAGAGCGTCCCAGTGCTCCAGTGGACGCCATTAGCAGCGCCTGGCTGGCCTGGCAGGATGCGTGCAGCCGAGTACCTCTCCGGCCTCTCACTCCACCCCTTCTACGGGGAGGTGGGGCACCCTCAATTAGGGATTGCCACCCAGGTGCTGGCCCACCCTCTCCCATTCCCTGCCTCCCCCGCCCCTCCTCTGCACCTCACCCGCAATGTTCCTGGGGTACGTGGGTGGGGTGTGTGAGCCACCTGCGGGGGCTGCAGGGAATGAGGGAGCACAGAGTGTGGGAAAGATCCCAGACTCATTTGTTCGTTCATTCATTCCTTCTGTACTTTTTAAGCACATTTGCTGCCCAACACTGTTCCAGTTGTGGGAAGTAGCGAGGTGAACAAAACATACTTTAGCTGAAGGTGGGAAGGAGATGGCCCACAGTTTATGAGGGGAAAAAAAGCTAATCACAGACTGCAAAGTGTTTTGAAACGTCCAGGACCGTTTCTCCAAGCGCCTGAGGGTCAATTCCTGCATCTCGCAGGTGGTTCTGACTCTTTGGCCAGTGCTTCCTGTGCCACGCCCATTTTTAAAAGTCAATTATCTAAGGGTAGCTCTGCCTTAAAATCAAAGGAGCAACAAAAATTAAGATGTCATCATAAGTGAGGATATCACAGAAAGTTGGACTCAGAGGACCCAGGTAGTCACTCTCGTGCCTGGAGAAACAGCAGCCTGGATTTAATCAGACACCCTTGGGCCTGGCACCTGGAGTCAAGGCTGAGGTGGGAGTTGGTCAGCAGGTGGTGTGGGCAGGAAGCCTGGTCCATTCCTCACCCTGTCCACCAAACAAATGAGTGTTGGGATCCAGAGGGATTCAGAGATTTAAATAATTTTTTAAGAAGTGAATTCTTACCAAAAAAAGAAGGAGAAGGAAGGGGAAGGAGGAGATATTTATCAGCTCTGGAAGGGGAAACATTTTTGAATATTGGAAGTCATCGGACAACACAACAAAAAGAAATGTAGCCTTTAAGCTAACAAATACCAGGAAAATTGGTTACAAAATCAAAAGGCAAAAAATAGGAAAAAATATTAACAGGAAATGTAATATAGTACTCAAGAAACTGATTTAAAAAAACAAACGAACACTGAGATCTGCCCTGGGAGGGTGGGTCAGTTGGTTGGAGCGTAGTCCTGTGCACCAAAACTTGCAGGTTCGATTCCCAGTTGGGCACATGCCTGGAGTGTCAGATTCGGTCAGTCTTGTCATGTACGGGAGGCAACCAATTGATGTTTCTCTCTCACATCAATGTTTCTGTCTCTCTAAAATCATTAAAAACATGTCCTCGGGTGAGGACTAAGGGGAAAAAAAGATTGGTTTAGAAAAACACTGAGACACTAAAGGTGAAATTAATGAAGGACACAGACAGGTCACGAAAGAGGAAACCAATTTGGTTAATGGACTTACGGACAAATGTTCAGCCTCAGCAGTTAAATGAATGCAAATCAAACCACGGCAAAGACATGCCAGTTCTGTGTGGTGTTAGCATGGCGCTGGAGGAATGCTGCTCATCAGGGCTGTGGGGAAATGGGCCGGTTGGTGGGCATGTAACTGGCACAGCCCTTTTGTAAATTAGTTTGCCAGTCTGTGGCTTCAGCTTTTTAAAATAGTTATTCCTGCCCTGCTGGTGTGGCTCAGTGGATTGAGTGCCAGCCTACAGACCAAAAGGTTGCTGGTTTGATTCCCAGTCAGGGCACATGCTTGGGCTGGGGCCTGGACCCCAATTTGGGGTGCGTGAGAGGCAACCAATTGTTTCTCTCATGTATTGATGTGTCACTTCCTCTCTCCTTTCCTCTCTCTCTAAAAATAAACAAATGAAATATTTAAAAAATAAAATAGTAATTCTCTTTGACTCAATGACTTCACTCTGGAAGTCTAGCCTAAGAGGAATAATACAGAAACAACATTATGGCCAAAGATGTTAGTGGCCAGCTTATTTATATTTGCAAAACAAACCCAGAATAAATCAACAAATATAACCATAATTGAGTGATGATAAATAAAAATCCTCTGACAAGAATTTTAGCCCTGGCCCTGGCTGGTGTGGCTCAATAGATTGAGTGCCGGCCAGTGAACCAAAGGGTCACTGGTTTGATTCCCAGTCAGGGCATATGCCTGGGATGTGGGTTTGGACCCTGGTGGGGGCACATATAAGAGGCGACTGATCAATGTTCCTCTCTCACATAGATGTTTCTCTTCCTCCCTTTCCTCCTCTCCCCCCCCAAAAAAAATCAAAGAAAAAATCTTAAAAAGGACACTCATTCAAACAAATAACAATTAAAAAAGATAACATTTTCATGAAGATTGGATAAATATGGAGAATCTTAACGATATAAGGGCAAATAATGAAAAAAAAAAGGATAGGTATGGTCCTGGCTGGTATGGCTCAATGGATTGAGCACTGGCCTGCAAACCACAGGGTTGCTGGTTCGATTCCCAGTCAGGGCACATGCCTAGGTTGTGGGCCAGATCTCCAGTTGGGGCCACCTGAGAGGCAACCACACATTGATGTTTCCCTCCTTCTCTTTCTCCTTTCTTTCCCTTCTCTCTAGAAATAAATAATAATAGCAAAGGACAGATATGAAGATTTGTAGAAAGTATAATAACTATGAAGGTTATTTTTTAATTTCAAAGGAATAGCAGCAATATTAAAAAGAAAAGTGGCAGAATGTTCATTCAGCAATGACCAGCTAGGAGTGGTTCTGTAGTCATGTGGATTTTTTTCGAAAGCAGATGATGGGAACTTAGACTCATGGAACACAATGGGTGTTCATGGGACCTTTGGTCCTGGTTGGTGGAACCCAGTTTGTGGGACTATCCTGTTATGCCCCAGTTGAAGAAAGAGCTGCAGGACCCAGGGTGGTTCTGCAGCCTCCCTTTTAACCCCAGGGATGCTCTTTCTCTAGTAGCAACTGCATTCTGTGTTTCCCCAGATGACTCTCTGAGCTGGGAACATGGCCACCAGCTGAGTCTCTTCCTTAAGGAGATGCCAGCTAAGAGGACCAGAGCTGCTTTGCCTCTGTCTGCAGAAAGATCATTCATTCAGAACAAACAGTCCCAGGGAAGGACATTAACTGGCCCAGCTTGACTCCTGGCCCTGTGTCACATGGCCACAGGACAGAGTTTGTTCAAACAACAGAGGAGGAGGGAAAGATGCTGGTCAGTTAGAAGCAACAAGCACCACACTTTCAGTTAAGTGTGAGAGTGAAATAAAGACATGGGAGATATAAAAAAAATACTTCTCATGCACTATTCTTGGGAAACCCCTAGAGGAAAGATGTCCTCTGACTAGATAAGGAATAAAACAAGAGAGTAGGAAATGTGGGCTGTAGAAAACAGAGATCGCACACAGATAGTAAGTGAAGAGAATCTCCAGGATGCTGATGAAGGGAGAATCCAGAATGACAGCTGTGCCACAAGCATAGAGGGCAATCAGTCCTCATTGGAACACAAGAGACAGGAATGCTGACATTGTCATCATCAAGCTCTCTGACATTGCACTATCTTTTCAATCTGATGAAACTATTGAATGATGTGCTCCACCAAAACAAGATGTAAATGAGGAAAGAGGAACTCAAGACACAAAGGACATAGGCAAATGGAATTCCAAGGATGACATCTAAAAGGACAACCCAGAGAGAAAGAAAAGGGGCATCTCAAGGAAGGATGCAACAGAGAAGAGGGGGAAAAAAAGAAGTGATATATTTCCTAATGGAGTTGACCTTGTGGAAAGTCTGGGTAGGTACAATAGAAATGAACAACAACAAAGGCAATT